GACCGCGAAGTGAAGCAGGTGAATGGGAGTGTGCGGTCTCGCGTATTCATCACTCGACTGTAGATTGGATACACATTTGGCCAATGGAATTTGTGCTTTAAAGAAATATTTCTCTTAACCAGTTTAAGAGAAAGGAAATAATGACTATTCTAATACTTAAAAACATACAATGAACATTTAAAAAGACTTGTTATGAAAGCGTTTATGTACGATCTGTATTAAGGAATGTTACTTTTGTGTCAATGACATTTACATTTGTATTCGTGTAATTGCACAATTCATAAAGTGTTCTTTCACATCCCAATGCTGTATTTATTTGATTCAGAGTAAATGTCAGGTATGTGGCCACTGTATCTGTGTCAGCTTACTAATTCTTATTTTCCACCACAGAATTCCCTTAGTGCAATAAGTGATTAGATTAAACTCTTGCCTGACCGGTCGCGGTGCATTCATGGACTTTTAAGATACGGATTTGCGGATCAGACTTAGTGTTGACCGGGTCGCCCCCCCCCCCCATCCCCGGAAGCAGTCTCCTTGAGATTCACAGGAAAAGAACAGGAGCGAGAGCCTCCTCGCCGCAGTGCCCCGCAAGGGCCCGGCGCCACTGCAGCCTCGGACGCCCGCGATGGTGGTGAAGTAAGCGTGATGCCGACGCCGCCAGCACGACGCCGCGTGCACCCGGCGGTGGCTGTCCGTCGGGCGCAGAGCGAGCGCCGATACCTCAGCCCCTGGCAGGCGGGGGCGGCTCCCCCCCTGTTGCACGTGCCCCCCGGCAGCGGGTGGGCGCGCTTTGAGCACCACCATGCCACCCGCACCGCCTACATCCCGCCCCTGCACCCACGCCTCTGCCACTCACAGGGCGTGGGCCGCCCCAAGGTGGTGATGGGCGTGCGCGAGGTGTGGACGGGCACCGTCAGCTACCACCCATGTGCCTCAATGTCGCGGGCGCAGCTGCCGCCCCTCGCCCTCGGGTCGCCGCCCGCCGTGGCCGCCCCGCACACCCTCCTGCCGCCGCCCATCACGCTCGAGGACAGGTTGGCGCAGGACAGGCTCACGGCCTTCCTCGCCGCCGAGTCGCTGCCGCATCGCCCGCGCTCCATCCTCTCGTGCCCAGGTAGGCAGCCGCGCCACCGAACCTTCTGGGAGGTTCTTCCTGTCTGTAATGCTGTTATTTTGTTCTTGTAGCGCTATTTTGTCTTTCTTTCGTCTTCTCCCTTTTCATATTCCATCTCTTTTCCCTTCTCTTTTTATTCCCCTCAATTTCTTTCTCCTCTCCTGTATTTTTTTTACTCATCCCCTACTTGTGTGTATTTTTTTCGCCATCATTTCCATAGTATATTCTGTATTATAGATTTATCAAACGTATTTTGGCCTAAAATTCTATAAACAAACAACCCCGCCTGAGAAAAAAATCATTATGCCGTCCCCATTAACCAAAACGCGACCATTTATCTTCCAAAAGTACTGAACAAGTAGCTCCGAGTCCATGCGACTGACTCCCCCACCCGTCCCTCCCCTTCCCCTGCCACCCGTCCCTCCACTTCCCCTGCCACCCGTCCCTCCCCTTCCCCTGCCACCCGTCCCTCCCCTTCCCCTCCCCACCCTCCCCCTCCCCTCCCTTGGAAATCTTCTGTGAAATAAGTCTTCCTGCAATTAGTAGGGCAATTAGACAGCCATAAATTATACGGTTATAGGGAACCCCTTCTAAACTCTCCCCCTCCTCTCCCTCCTCCCCCGTCCCTGTCTCCCCCACCCCTCTTCTCCCTCCTTCCCCTATCTACCTGTTACCTTGCTCCCCTCCGCTCGTTTCCCTCTCCCCTTCTCTATTTCTCCCTCCCCCTAACCCCTTCACTCCTTCACCCCCTCTTACTTCTGCCCCTTTCCTTTTCCTCTCTCCTTCCTTCATTGCCTCTTTTTTCCTCCTCTTCATTCTTCACTCTACACTTTCCCGTCTTCTCTCTTCGCCCCCCGCTCTCTCCCCTTCTTTCCTCCTACCCACGATTTATTCCCCCTTCCTCTCCCCCTCCCATTGTCCTTAAGTCCCTTCATTAGCTAAAATAAAACTGTCCCGTCATCCATCATGTAATTAGCGAGAAATTGTAGGGCGGTGACATCTGGCAACAACAGAAAAGACAAACAAACAGATATATAAAGAAAAAAAAAACATTAATCAGTCCTAGGTTCGTATTTGTACTTACCTATTACTAATTACCTTTTGTTATTTACTTAGTAAGAGAACTTAAAAAGTACATACACTCTGATAGCTAACAGAGATGGGATGTTCCGTCCAGCATATATGTATTCTTTGCTTTTCTTCTTTGTCAGTAATGAGCGAATGACGATTTTTGAAAACAGGCAGAACATAAATCTAGTGCTTTCTCCTCTTTAAAATCACTGTTGCGAATTCTAAATGGAGAGAGGCGAGGGTCGTGTAATCATTAGTGTATAGATTTGTCACGTAGCTTGCGAAACCGGAGCAAGATATAATACATTTATACAT